AACACTTCAGTGACAGGTGATCTGGTCTACTATCCAAACACTTCAGTGACAGGTGATCTGGTCTACTATCCAAACACTTCAGTGACAGGTGATCTGGTTTACTAAGGAATCCAGCTCAACAGCTTAAATAGTTCAGACCACAAAGAACAATAGGTTACATTACATCTTAAAACAAACTTTCTTCCAGCCTGTTGAAACAAGCCCACAGCCTCACAGAATAAGAAGCAGAAGGAAAGTTTGTCTCTCCGTAGTTTTAATGCCACACAGATGCTTTAAAAACAAAAATAAACAAAAAGCCTTGAAAATGTATCATGAGAGGGAATGAAGTAAGCATTGGACATGTGATTCTTCTGCTGACTCCTAGTCCACTTCTCCCGTGCTCGATGTGTCCCTGTCTTCCTCGTCTGAAGGCGGGCATTTCTTCAGCTCCAGCAGCACTGCATGATCCAAAGTGAGATCACCGTCAGTCCCCAGACCAAGCTTGATCACCCTGTAGGTCCTGTTCACTTGCCTCTAGGGATCTTCCAGACTGAAGCCAGAATTCAGGAGTCCAACTTATACAGCAAGATGACCTACCTGATCCTTCACAAACCCACCATTCTGTCAGCCTGTGCCTTAAAGTTTCAGTAATGGAGCAGCCCAGTCATTTTCGTGTTGCTGTGTCACCAAGCGTTGAGTTTTCTTTGAGGGCTTGGGCTTTCTTCATTCTCTCGTGTTTGCCATTCACCTACATGTACTGTGGTGATACCACTTGCGAATGCCACCAATCACTTTGACCCTTTCAACCCTCCCCTCCAAAATGTCTTTCATAATTTTTCAGAAGTTCTTCAAGTTTTGTCTTTTTCTCTTCCTGTTTTCTTTTTCTCTTCTGAATCTTCTGCAAGTTGCAGTCCTTCTTTGGTAACTGACCGGATGGTCTTGCCCTCGCCTTTAGCTGTGCACACTGTACTCATCAATGGGCTCATTCACAAGGGTCACTTCTCAGCCATGGTGTCAGAGATGCTCCTTGAAAGCCAAGTTAGCTACTTGGTCTTGGCCTCAGCTGTGATAAAATAGATGTGCTTCTGATTTTCCTTTGTTCTGGTGCAGCAGTCCTTGAGATAAAATGTCTCTTCCCCAGAAGCAAATGTATAGCACCAGTGGCAGCTCAAATAGCTTCTTCGATTCTGAGTCCTCCTGAATTCCAAGCTTTACAATTTTGAGAACTGCTCACAAAGCTTTCTGTAGTTCTCTTTACCTTCTGCCAGGTCAGTGAACAGTTCTAAGCATTTCTTGACCAATTTTTTTCTGATAAGTTTTAAATTTTTGCTTTGCTGCAACATTTCATGGGCAATATTTAGAGGGAGATCCTTGGAACCCACCACTGTTCTAATGAAATCCGGATACCCAGGGACTAACTCCTCACAGTTAACCATGATGAAAACTGTGTGTGTACAACTTGATGGTCTTCTTCTTTCTGTTTTCAAACAAATGAAAAGGAATGTGTCTTGGGACAAGAGAAGGACTGGGAATTCCAGTTTTCCTTCAACAGATAATGCTTTACCGTGACATGCTCTTCCCAACCATTGCGTAAGCTCTTGCGGAACTCACAGTATTCTTAGTCAGGATGTCTGGCCCAGACAGGCTTTGTTTCACTTAGTTCTTCTCAATCAGTGTGCTTCTCCTTAATCTTCTTCTTCTCATCACTATTCTTTTCTCCTTTTTCATCAGAACCATACATTTTCTATTTCTTCTTTTTCCTTCTCTTCCTCTTCATCTCCTGTTTCTTCAGCCTCATCGTCATTGACCTCCTTCTCTCATTTCTTCTCCACGGAGACTAATGGGGTGGCCAATATCTGCGCCAGCCTGCACAGCCTCCGCGATGGCTTTGGTGCTAGACTGGCAATAGTGCCAAGGTTATTGATCAAGTTAGCCTTGGCCATCCCAGTTTCAGTATTCATAGTAGTAGGCGTTTGGTTTTGGTTGCTGGGGTGAGATTAACATGCAGATCCTTCCCAGAGTGATAACTAGGATCTGTCAGACTCTCACTGCTGATCTTACCCAGAGCATCTGATGAATTTGAAGTGAGCTCCCTGAGAAAAATCTTTGTTCAGATAGAAAGTATTGATGATAAAGGACATTAACTGGACAATTTTTCCTTGAAGGGAAAAGTGTTAACCTTTTCCTCCTCCATTGGTTGGTCTTGGGTCTGGGTTTTATTTATCCCACTGGTTGAGAATAAGGCCACTACCACAATTTACAGCCAAATTTGAAGCCAGGTTTAATTAAATACTGGCCAGGAGGATGGATTCTGGCCAGGTCCATACTTGGGTTCCCAAAAGGCAAAACTACCACAGGGACACTGTATTTCCCATCGGGTCCAATCAGGGGCAAGCATATATCCTGAAACACTTCCTGCCTGCATACCTCCCACCTACATCCAACCAAGGGCAAGTATACATCCAGATGTGTTTCCTCCCCATGTACCTCCCACCGACATGTGACTAAGCACGTCCTGTGCAGATGGGTCAGTTAACTTGTTTGGGTTGTGGGGATGAAAACATAAACAATAGTCTCCAGCATTTAACTTTGGTTCTGTATGGCCTCACAGTGTTCTCTGGCATCTTTCTTGAGTGACCACACATGAACCATGACTAGCTGTACAATGGCAATGAAGCAACTAATAGAAGTTTCTTGAATTTTCTAATTCTGGGTAAATACCGGAAGCTTTTCTCCAGCCTCCAAAAGTTCTGAGGTCCTGTGTGTTCATTCTGGCGTATTACATACTGTACTTTGTGATATGTAGAGTCACCTAACGGTGACCTCACAGTCAGAGCATCTTTCTCCCTGGTGGAAGTGAGTGCCAGAGGATACATACGCCCCTCTCACCATGTTACGGTTCTAATTTCATCAGTCTCTTAAGAAACAATTTTCTTCCTTCACATATCCAAGTTAGGATGAGACTCTGAGAACAGTCTCTCACACAGCAGGTTGGGATCCAGTCCTATCTAGAAATTCAGTCCAGGCCCCAGATGTGTGGGATCAGGCTGTGGTCGCAACCTAGGTTCACCTGCAGTTTTGGTTGCTTACCCTGCCTCAGTGGCTTCTGCTCATGATGCCCAGTTTGTCCCAGGCTCCCATGGTGCTGTTGTGCATTAGTGCCTACTGACAGAATGGACAGAAAGTTTACATTGTCGGATCCATCAGAGCAGCTCTGGAAGAGTGTCTGTTGTCCTTACACAGACAACAGAGTCATTAAAGGATGGATGCTGCCCCATGAAGGGCTTCAGAATGTGCCTCCTGGGAGAGACGAAGGGTTTAATACGGACAGAACGATGCATATTTGTCTAGTTGATCTTGTAAAGGATGAAGGTTTGAAGGTACTAAAAATACAGTGGCTCAGAGGCAGATCAGTGAGTGAAGGGAGAAATCCTGAAAGGGAAATTATTTGAAAATTTCTGTGCCTTGTGTTTTAGTACCACTGAGAGAAGGAGAGAGAAGGCAGCCACCAGATGACTAAGGCATCAGTTATAGCTCGAGGATACTTGAAATAGAGCATACCAGCCCTAGCAGGAAAGCAGAGGACTAAATAGGAAAGATCCTATTTATTAAAATGGTTCTTAAATGGAATGTTTCGGTTTTAATTTGGGGCTACTTGCTATTTTACAGAAGCTGTGTCTACTCCCCCAGAAAAAAGCCCATCGATGCAGACAAATATGAGTTTAGGCAAGAAAATGGAGAAAGCCATTGCAAATACTATCACAGAAAGTCCCCCACGTTCTCCTCAGGAAAAGCAGACGGCTGCAAAAAGCTTTGAAACACAGATGCCTTTACAAGAATTTTGGCCATCAGGTAAAGATGAGTTCACCAGCCTGGGTTTGAGGATGTCCAAGTCTGAGTCCATGTTCCACAACCCGTCCTCTGTGGAGACACTCTACGTCTCACCCGCATTCAAAACCATTAGCCCACTGAACGAGAACAGTAAGAACCTCCAGACACCTGCACAGTCCAGCGTCTGCCGGAGGGAAGAAGTGTGCCTCAAGCCTTTAGCCATGCGGGGTGAGTGTCCCCCCAAACAAGCCAATGAAGCAGGTGAGGATGCTCTGCAGAGCCATTCCGTGGCCTCTCGCCGTCTGTCCTTGTCTTGTCTCCTCTCACTCTCTGTCAGTTCTGTTAGATCACATGCACCACTGAAGGACTTCTTGGGTGGTCTTGTGACTCTTTCATTAAGTGAGTTGCAGATAATTCAAGCAAGTACTTGATAGAGTATATTACCCTCAGTTCTAAAAAAATTCTGTGTAAACCAAATTAGATGTTACTGGCATTAGCTGAGGCTTCCAGTTAGACATGTAGGTAACTCATGAAGGGATTGTGTGCAAAAGACTTGGGGTTTTTTTATGTGTACCAGTACATGTGTGCACAGCTGTGTATACTTTCTTTAAGGCTCTATACTATTTGCACCAACAGCACAAGGAACCATGTCCTTTCTCTGTCTTTATATAAACATCAAGGACCTGGGCATAGCAGGACATATCTGTTATCCCAGCACTCTGGAGCCAAGGAAGGCGATTGAGTTCAAGGTAAGCAGGACTATGTAATGAGCCCCTGTGTAAAACGAAACAAATGAAATGGGCTTCAGTATTGATTTAGACCCTGTGATAGAGGGTCAAGCCCAGTTGTTGACTGCCAGCTATTAAATCTTCCATTATGAAATTATGCTTTCTTTTTCAAAGTTAATTGGTAAAAAATTGTGCATGAATTTTTCAAAATAGAGTGGTGGTTTTGTTGGTGATTCTGTATGATAATGCTTACCAACTCATATAAATTTAAAGATTTTAACATAAGTCTTTTAAACCGCTTCAGATGGCAATTAAAATGCATATAAACAAAAATATTGGCAGCCAGCAGATACAACTACATATTAATAAAAACAGTGAAAGCAGCTTGCAGGGGTTAAATGAATTGACCTTGGTGTCAAGGGCAGCGAATAACAGAAGAATCTCTTTGAAAAAGAGATTTCAAAGGTTACTCTATTTAAACCTTTTTGACTAACTTAAAGGTGGTAAAACTGAGTCTTAGAGTTGGCAAGATGGCTCAGCAAGTGATGATGTGAGTTTGATCTCCAGGAGCCCACACACAGGAAGCAGGGCACCTACTACTCAACATGTTCTCTTTTGATTTTCAGGCATACCATGGCACAAGTGTGCATGCATACACATGGATGGATGGATGGATGGATAGATGGATGGACGGATGGATAGATGGATGGTTGGATAGATAGATGATAAATAAATAAAATGTAATTTTAAAAATGAATCTCTGTTTTGTCATCAAATTCACTTTCTTTCTAAGACTGCCTGCAGAGGAACCCACCTAGCGCTGTGCTTTGATGGGCTCTGACTTGACTGTCCTCTGAGAAGCTGCAATGGTTCCAATGAAGTCAATAGACCCTCTAATCCCACCTCTTAGTACTGGTCTAAAGGCTGTGGGACCTGGGAGAATGGAGCCAATAAATGAGGTGGACTAAAGTCTCATACAATAACCAACTTTACTCAGAGCATCGGACAATTTGTACTTTAAGGGCTAAAAAGAATCACATGAGTTCAGGGTACAATCACAAGGACCAGCCGCATGTGGCAAAAACATATTTTTCATAGAGGCATTTAATTGAATAACAACAGCAAGCAATAAAAAGTAATCTGAAATAAACTCACTCCTGTCTGCTACACCTGGGAGGAGCACAAACAACATTCCAAGAACAATCCATGTTCTGAAGAAACTGAAGGCATCAGACTCCTGGCTTATTTTCCTGGAGTGTTCTCACAAGGACTCAGAATTCTCACAGCTCCGTTCTTGGACCGTGTTCTGACACACCTCTAATAATATTAAAGCTGAAAAATTACTAAAAGCTTGTTTATCAGAAGCCCTCCAAGAGATAAACACAGTGGGTCTGGACCCTAGGGAGAAAAGCGTTTTGACAAGTCTGGGTTGACCTCAGTCATTTCCCTCCTTGGGTAAGAGGTGGATCCCCAGCCTCACTGGGCTTTGGAAACAGTTTGAATTTGGGGTTCCAAAGTAGCTCAAATCCCAAAGTGACTCAGGGCCAGTGAGAGAACAAGAAACCACAGGGAAGGAATTCTTTGTCTCAGCAAGTACATGCTGCAAAGTTGTGTGTTCTCAGTGAGAAAGAAACCAAAGTGGGGGGAGCTTCTTAGAGACCAACAGGCTCAGCAGAGCATCTGATGACGGGCAGATGCCAAGAGACAGACAGCATCCAGTCAGATGCTCCTCTCTCATTCAGCTGGGCCCTGGGGACCTGACAGGCTGTACACTCAGAGCTACACTCTGGGAAGGACAACACTAGAAACAGCACTGTCCTTCATGCAGAAAATCCACATCGTCTAGAACACAGTGACTGCCTCAGGCTCCATTTGGCATCTAGAAGACAGACCTTTTTATGAAAGCTGCTATAATTTTTGATGAAAAACTTTCATCAAGTTATTTCTACCTATGTTGCATAAAGGCTCAGTGGAAATTTTAAAGTTGAAAAATAGAGTCCTGAAATTAAGACCCCGAAGATATGCTGCTCCATGTGGTCTAGCAGGCATGTCCAGCCCTTGATACTGTCACACAACACTGTCACCTGCCAAGTTTACACTCAAGAACCGAGGCTGGAGCCACCAGCATAGCAGGGGCTAACTTGGACCCACTAGCAATATAATGACACAGAAGCTTTTTAATATTTAAAAGCTAGGCCTTTCAGCTAAGGCAGTCTCCCAGATACTCTAACCTGAATAATCCGGGCACTACATCCTGCCTCTCCGCTCCTCTCTGGTTTATCCATGGAATCTCCCATGTCTTGTTTCTTCTCCTAGCATCACTCTCTCCCTAAAAGATCCAGCCTCTACTTTCTGCCTGGCTATTGGCCCTTAGCTCTTTATGTGAGGAAAATGAGTATTTATAAAATATGAGACCAGTGATGGGCCATAGAAATGACAGTCCCAAGATCCTGCCAGCACTTAGCTCTCTGTCAGTACAGAATTAACAATTGAATACACAGAGACACACCTTCACACAATGTGCCCCAACACACCAGAAAAACTCACAGAACTCTCATATGTTAAGTAAATTCATGATCTTTATTTGGGCTGGATTCATGCATGTCCACAGTTATGTGTGGCCACATGCAGCTTAGACCATGTGTTGGATATTCCTGGTAGAGCAACAGGGGAGAGTTCAGTGAACAGAGCATCAGTGGGTGTCAAGGAAATCTTGGGGAAGACTGAGATGGCTGAGCCCATAAACTGTGTATAAATTCTACCCAAATCTTCGGCTAATTACTAGCTAACTGTACAGAGTACCCTCCAATCCCTGTCGGAAACCAAAAGAAAGGAAAGCCTTTAGCTTCTGTCTACTTTGTGGCTGACACTTTGAAGAGTCAGGCAAGTTATCTGCCTACAGGAATGAGAGTAGTCTCTGAGGACTGTCATAGAATCAAGAGACTCTACAAACATACACTACAGTGTTTTTAAATGCCTGGCATGGAGCTGGAATGTTGGCTCGGTGGTTACGAGAAAGTGGTCCTCTTACAGAGGACCCAAGGTCAGTTTCCAGCAGTTACATTGGGTACAGTTTCACAGCAGCCTGTAGCTCCAGCTGCAAGGGATCCAGTGAGCCCTTCTGGACTCCACAGACACCCTCACTCACATGCGTAAACACACACACATTAATTAATTAATTATTTCCCAGACATTTGAAGAATAGGAAAATGTGAGCTATAATGAAGACATGGAAGAAGTTTCTAGAAGCTGACCATGATGACAGAGATACTGTGATTAGCAGACGAGTTCATGAAGCAGCCATTAGAAATGTATTCAAGAACTTATGCTGGGGAACATTCCGATATGCAGTACTCAGGAGGCTAGGGCGAGAGGATAGTGAGTTCAGGGCTAGTTTAGACCACATAGTGAGTTTGAGGGTAGTCTTGCTGACACGGCAGGGCACTGTCTCAACAAACAACAAAATATTGTATTCCAGGACTTTAAAGTGTCACGATGAATGCACAGAGAGGACAGTCTCGGAAGACAACACTACAAAAGAACAAAAAGGAAGTAGCAGAGGCCGGGCGGTGGTGGCGCACGCCTTTAATCCCAGCACTCGGGAGGCAGAGGCAGGCAGATTTCTGAGTTTGAGGCCAGCCTGGTCTACAGAGTGAGATCCAGGACAGCCCGGGCTATACAGAGAAACCCTGTCTCGAAAAACAAAAAAAAAACAAAAAAAAAAAAAAAAAAAAAGGAAGTAGCAGAGATGGAAACGAAGTGACCAGTTCACTGGATGGATTCAGCAGTGGGCTGCAAATGAAGGAGGGAAAAGTAAGTGAATCTGAAGAGAAATCAACAGGAATGATCTAACCTGGAAAATGGGAGGTGAATAAGTAAGAGAGACGGCCTTGCAGGCAGGAGCTTCACAGGCAGTCTCACCATGGTGTGCCAGGAGTTCCAGCAGACAAAGAAAGTAGAGAGGGCGTTATGTGACGAGATCCTGGTGCCAGACTCCCACCGTTGTGGCTGGAATAAGCTCCCAGAGTGAAAATGCTCACACAAAATAAATATAAAGAAAACTATGCCCGAGTTCCTCCTCAGTAAACACATGGAGCCCACAGGGAAGGTTTAAAAGCAGCGAGAGAAAGTTGTGTTCATACAAGAATCACGTGTGGACACTAGTGGTGTGGACGCTGCCTCAGGAGTTCTGAGAGACAGAGAGAGGCCAGCTCACAGGTCAGAAGACAAAACCTGTCAGCCAGAAATTCCATATCTAGAAAAAAATTTAAATGAATTAAAAAAAAGCATTCAAAGACGGAAACTTAATTCATAATCAAGAAATCTATAAAAAAAATCTATAAAAGGTGAGGAAGCTTTTACCAACAGGAAGCTGTGCTATAACCTGAATCTACAAAGCGGCGAGTCTTGGAAATGATGAATATCTGAGTAAATATAAAACACGGGTTTCTTCATTGAAAAAGCACATGTAGAAAATATACATGCAAAATTATAATTCTGTATTTTTTCTGTTTAAAACACATATAAAAATAA